ACATTTCATGCCAAATCTCACAAGAGATAATAATAATGAATCAAAACGGTTTTTTAATTTTCTTAATACAAAATAACGGAAAGTTTTTTGCAGCTGATAGGTCCTCTAACAGGTGTAGTGGTTAGTAAAACCAGAAAATCCGCATTTGTTTGGACACCATCCCTCGGAGAGGGAATTTGTGAAAATGATGGGAATTTGGTGATTGGAGAATGGATTGAATTCACGGCCAAGTGAGTTCATACTTTTGTTTTTCACACTTTTAATTGCATAATTGCAAAAACCTTTAGGACTAGAATTATTGATGTTAGAATCCTCCAATATTTACCTGTTCACTTTTGCAGTTCCACTTCATCTTTTTTCTGAAACTTCTAACTCTTTTGTTTTTATTTGATACTGTCTAACTGCTTCGAAAAGGTTCTGCAGATGAACTTTAGTTGCTTTATTAGTTTGCGTAATTGTTTAGTCCTCTAATACAAAGTCCGTTATAGTTTGTATTTTGAAAGTCATATGCATATGAATATCAACTTTCGTATTATCGAATGGACGATGGCTGATCCCATCTTACGATGTGTACCATTATTCAATAATCTAATGGTTTGCCTAAACATAAACTCATCATTTTTAATATTTGAGGAATCTGTTTACTGACAATTTATATTGCAGAAAAAAAAGCTGCACTATCATATACTAATTCATTCATCTTCATTAGCATCGAAAGAAAGGCGCGTTACGATGTAGCACTATGTACTGATTTCTGTTTGTTCTATTTCATACATGTCTGAAGTCAGTCAAATAAAATTCAAATTGTATTAGGAATTGCAATCGTTTTAAATGCAAAAAGGATCGTTGTTTTTTTTTTTTGTGTGTGTAACTGAGTATTGCTGAACGTTGTTATGATATTATGACATTATTCTTCCTTGTAGTATTATCATTCTTTTGTTACAGCTTGTATCGACTTTATTCATCTCTCACTGGCCGATGAATAATTTAACTGTGGATTGGATAGGACCTATTACAGATCGAAATCATATGCTGGAAAAAGCAGTATCTAGTTTTGGAGTTGGGCGTAAGTATGAATTAATGTTGAAGCGTTCAAAAAAAAGTTTGGAAGAACCGATTGCTGCGTGGAATGTACATCAAGTCTTGGTATGTATCTACACTAATAGTTTATTAACTTTGATTTCTATTTATATTTTATTTCAATTTTGTGACATACTAGTCATTTATAATATAGCAGAATATACGATCGGTTTATATGTATCAGTTGTCGTGAAAGGTTTTGGAATTGATTTCACTTAATTGAAATAGTTTGGTGATTGATTTACTGATTTCATAATCCGCTGACGACTTTGTTTAAATGTTCATTTTGGTCGAGGAGGTTATAGTGATTTAGACAAGGACAAGACGAGAAAAACATACAATAACTATAATACTGTTGTCAAAATTGGGATATTTAAATGCTTAAACAGGATGTGAATTAATGGGCGCATTATTATACAATTAGATCAGCTACAAAGATAGCTGTGGAAAGGAATGATCTAAAAAAAAATGTTAAGAAGAATCATGAGAAAGAAATATGTAAATGAACATCCGGATAAAAATAGTTTTTATGAGAATTTGCTGTTTACTAACAAAGAACGATGTAAATCTCATTTACATTTCTCACAGATGGTGAGTCTTCAAATTCTTATCAAATTGTCAATCATCCGATTATACAATTCTCTAAAAGGAGTGCAATTATTTGATTATATAGTTAGGAATTAATTTCAGATTTCCCGACATCAATTTTAATTTTAATTTTATATGCAGGATGGTGGAAGTCGAAGGAACGGTATCGTTTGCTTTGTCAATATCCAGAAATCGTTGGCATTAGTTTATATTCAAGATGCAAACTGTGGAACCGGTCGAATGTTACGCGTTGATTTAAAAATGTTAATTTTTTGTTCTTATGAGCATCAGCTACCCATTAGACTGCATTAGACTGCAACAGTGTTACGCACATATACATTTTGGAATGCTAGAATTTTACTCTTTCAGTATTCTATAAGAATTGCAGATTTGAAGCAGTTCCAGCACTTGGCGATTGGTTCAGTTTCAAAATAGATGAAAATAATCAATTCTGGACAGTGTTAAGTGCTATGAAATCCAAGAAATTATGCGCCTCATATATAATTGACTGTCAATTAGAAGTATGATATTTTTACTTGTTTTTCATTTTCTTATAATGTAACCTTAACAAAATCTTAACGGATGAAAAAGAGGTTAATTGATTGACATCCAAATTCTCTTCCTATCAAAACTCATGCTCAGGAGTTAATGTTTGAAAAAAATGTGTAATGAACATTGAAGACATTCTTGATATTCTGGTATAATGTCGAAGGAATAGTAACTTTATGTTTTTTAAATTTCAGGCTTTTGGTTGGAAAACTTCTTTTTTATATTTTAAATTTTAAGGTTGAAACGGAAGTTATATTAACTGATAAGATCTCAACGAAAGGCCATCGAGTAATGTATTCTGCTGTTCTGGGAGCGATAGCAGATGATGCGAACAGACTGTCGAATATTATTGTGGATGCTTCACAAAAATATACTGTCTGGTGTACAGCAGTGCGAGAGAGAATTGCAGGTGATCCGTATTGGAGGATAACTAAAATCCCCGTTAGTATTACTTTATAACGAAAAATTTTTTTTTCTTTCGTGTTACAACTCAGATCGATTTTGGAAATGTCTTTTATTTTTTTCTGCACTGAAAGAAAGAAGTTTCCATAGCCAAATCATTTTGTTTAGTCCACACATTTGTGGATCTGATGGGTGTGTTTTGGTACCATAGGCTTCATTCATAATGCAAAAAAGAATTTGTTAAGTTTTGTTGGTGTATGTTATTTAAAAATAAAATAAAAAACCAATGTGTAATGGTTTCGTCATATATCTTCCAAAGAATATTTTATTTCTCTTCATTATTGCTCCCTGAATCGCATTTTGTTATTTAAATATTACTGCTTAAAAAATATCGAATTATGCAGTTTATACTTTGTTGCAGATGAAGGACGGAGCTTTTATTACAAAATCAAAGCTTAATACAAAGATAGAACTAGTTGATAATGTTTCGTATGTTGGTATTGTCGTTAGTGAATGCCGAACAGCTTATTTCGTATGGACATTTTCACTGGATGAAATTATATGCTATTACAAAGATGGTCTACATATCGGTGATTGGATTCAATTTTGGATTAGGTAGTTTCAAATTTTGGACCTCTTCTGGTCAGAATTATTAATAATCTTATTTTATGACTCAAAATTTTCTTGAAAACTTTTGCTCACTCAAGTATCCAGCAAGTTGTTTTTAAGATTTAATATTGCTAATCCTAAAGCTATATAACACCTGCCTTACATTTTTTTCCGGCTTTCTTTAAATTTATATTTTAGAAGAAAATATGGAACACATCAGAATGGGAACTTTTTTTGTGTAAGCAAGTGGCAAAAAATAGATAGTCTTTATCCTACACGTGAAAAAAATAACACTGCTGTGGTAAAGTATCATTTAAAATATTGCAATTTTATTTGGAAAAAGTGTAACAAAGAAAAGATCTTTGCGTTCTGAGTGTACATTTTTTGATGCAACTATTTTATAGGGGAAATGTTAAATCAAAGAATTATTGCTTCTTTCATTTTTTAAAAAGGTTTAATGGCTAAAAAGAGTCGTGTGAAATTACAGTTTTATTTGCTTACAGGTTACAATAGAATTAATGATACCAAAAAATTATAATAGTTGGCAACCACCATCGCTACCATTTTTTGGTGAAGTCCTCGATAGGAAACGATATTTTGAATCAAATATTGATGATATACGTGGTCATATAATCGAAATGGATATAAAACATATCAGAACTGTGAAAAATAATCCAAATTGGGACATTGTTTTTGTTTTGCTAAAAGTATGCGTATCAGAAACTTTTTTTTCGTTAATTTAAAGTACCTAAGACTTAAGATTGTCAAAATTGTTGACATTGAATTAACTATTTGATCCTAATTATATAAAATTTGATACTTCTTTACATAAATATACAATTTTAATTTATAGGGGCCTTTGCATGGACAAGAAGAATCAATTCATACAAGAGCTGTAGAAATGAATGTCGATCCTAAAAAGGTCGGTGTTGTTGACATATTTTTGATTCGTTGATTTCTTTCTTTGGTTTTATTTACTTCATTTTGAATTGTAAGATTGATACAATAATAGTTGAAGTTGCAGCTGAAATGGAAATTAAATACTCGTATAATTTGTAATTCTTTGATTCATCCATTATTTATAAAATCAGCAGCCTGCTTTGGCGAATCCTCTTAATCTCTTTATTACATTACATCAAAACAAAAAATGTTTCTCACAGATCCCACTTTTTATTAAAAATTTGCAATCAGCATTGACTTAGTTTTAGCATATTTTTTCACGTAGATTTCAGATTGCTTCAACTAGCAATGTATCCGTTCAGAATGCAAATACGTTTTTCACTGGTGATCCATCAGATCCTGTAAATAAATCAAACATTGCTGAATACAGCTGTTATTCTGATTTTAAGAGGAGAGATTATAAAAATCATTCTCCGACGACTTATAACGAGAAGAAAAAGGAGCACCATGAGGATTACAACGGTAGAAATGATTCTCAAAAGGTATATGTTCAGATTTTTTTACTTATGTCATTAGTTATTTTGTTGGAATGAAATTATATTTAGAGCGTTGTATTTACCAAGTTTAAGTCTCATTTCAAACCTTTAAAGGAAAGTAGGGTTTAAATTAAGGAAAGCATATTACTTGTTCGTTAACTTATGTACATTATTCTCACCATTTGAAGTAAATAATGAATAAAATACATGGAACTTTTTAATCACCCATTGTATTTCAATTTTTCCTTTAATATAAAATTTTCTCTTTTTTGCAGCTCCTTTGTTTTCTTTCTTTCATCTGATTCCAATTTTTTAATTATTTAAATTTTGAAAATTAAAGTTTTGCCTTAATTGTGAAAGCACTTTAGAACGACTTTATTTTAAATTTCTTTTTTTGCAGGACATTGCTGAGCTTGATCCTGTTATTTGTTCTATGAAACTTTTATTGATGTCGAAAGAGGTACGGCAAGCAATAAAAACGAACTGCATAGAAGAATACACAGCACTTCGCCAATACTTTGATCTCGTCTCGTAATGACTGCACCACTAGGTTGTACACGTCTATTGATTCCGATTTCATTTCTAAAAAAGTCATTACCTCCAAAATGTGAGAGCAACAATTTGCTGCTTCATTCTCTGGGACTGTTATTTACATTGTTTGTTGAATATTGTACATTTCCTGAATTTTATCTGCAAAGAATAATTTATTTTGGTTGTTGTCATCAACCGGTTGTTTCATTTTGAATGAATGATCTTTTGTTGTATCTCATCCTTACAGTCTGCTCTTTTTGGATTCCTATTCGTATACTGATGAACCTGACATCATTGATATAACATGGAAGAAAATATGAGAAAACTTGGAGATATATCTAGGGACGCCAAGAAGATAACCCAACATATACTAGTCGAGGTCCAGCCGATTCATCTAAAAATATTTAAGAGATATGCGAAAACAATATTAACTCGAAGAGGTCCACACAAAGCTTCAATAATCAATTTTTCAATGTTTTCTGTTCAGTCTACATAGGTGAAACCAAAACGATTTTAGCAACGGGGAGTGGTCACTTATTTTGCTCATCAGGTACCATCACATCCTAATGAAATCACTGCGGTCCTGCTGGTTATGTTGTCTTCGCCGCTCGAATCCACAAAGTCTATAGAAATCAGTAAACTTGCAAAAAAATTTTTGAGAATCGATTATTCTGCCATCTACACGAGCACAAATTCATCATTTCGAAATCCACAGAACAATTCAATTCTTTCGTCAAATTCTTTCTCATACAGTTTGAATAAAAAAAGATATGGAAACAAACAATTCAGTATGATGAACAAGATGTAGACTAGGAAGTGGTGGATAGTAGGTATAGATTGATAAAATCATAAGTACTAAGCAGCAGGAAAGAAAACCAGTAGAAAAAGGACAAAATGTCGAAGATAACGTCACGATGTAAAATAATATTGTCTTAGTACTTGAACAGAATACCGGATATATCGGGAAAATTCAGTATGTAGGGGAAACATGGAAAGTAATTTCTAATGGAAATAAAAACAATATTTGAAGCATCAAACATCTTTCATGATTAAGTATTAATCAATCCATCTAGATATCGTCAATATCAACTTCTTCACCATCGTCTTCAGTCTTGATCTTTTCAATCTGCGCGGTGCCATTCGTCTTTGTCGCATCCATTTCAACTGTTCCCACTTTTCGGGCGCGATCGTCAAACTATAAAAATCACGAAATTAGGATTCAAGTTCAAATTACCTCAACTTTAAAATTAAAAGATTTAGCCTAAGGCAATGCTTATTTAAATACCGACTGTTATTCCCTTTGATCCTATATTGCTTTGACAACATCAATCAATTTTGATATTATGTCAAATTGTTCATACGAATCAAGCAGGAAAACAAATGTCTTCTGACATTCAAAGTATTGATGTACACGAGGGGAAAAGATAACAACAAAAAAGCCAGGCTCTGTGATACACACTAGATAAATTGGAACAAAAGTTATAAAGGAAATAAAAAATGGTGGGTGGTGAATATAACAAGCAAATTGCCACTTGCATTATCCTTTATAGAAAAAGAAGTAAAATACATCGATATTCTTTTCTTGAGACCGGAAGCGGTGAATTAAAGATTTTTTGAAACAAAAAACCATACCTCAATAGCTCCGTCTTCATCGTCCTCATCATCGCTCTCATCTTCCTCTGCATTCTTCAACCAATCCAAAACAGGCTGCGCCTTACTGATTATCTCAGCACAGAGTTTCTTCTTAACATACTTCTTGCTCGGCTTAAAAGAATATCTCCGTACAACCTTACTTCTGTTAAATTGGATATCTCTTGTAAAAATTTTAAAATCTTGTAAACATACCTTTTCACCCCAGGCAAGAAGAACTTCCTCTTCTACAATATCAGTATCATACAATGCTTTAATGATATGGGCTGATTTTGGAAACAAAGTGTCGAAATGTTTCGAAATGAGTTGTTCAATGCCACCTAGAAGATGACGCTGCGCCTGAAATTGAAAAGGAATTTAGGCATCCCAGAAAAAAATATTTTCAAACTTTTAATTTTAATCTTGCAGAAAAATGACAAACATAAATTGGAGAATAGCAAAAAAATCTCGAAAAAAATGACACTGACTTTGTGGTCATTAACAGTAAAACGCAGAAGGATGTTCCGATATTCTACGATCTGATTGACAACGTTTGTATCAAATAAAACATCAGCCAACAAAAGAGTAGCCTTTGATTTCAGCTCCAGTCTTTCAGCCTCATTCAGTAATTTCTTACTATTCTGCAACATGCATCTTCCATCACAAGTTTTCAGCCATACAAATGCAAAATTATTTATAAAAAAGAAGTTAACTGAAATGATTAATCACTTTTTCAACAAAAAGGTTCAGGAAAATGCAGCAGCCTAACGAGAGTACACATGCTCATGCAATCCTAGCATTTCTTAAAAAGAAAGCTTAACATCTGAATCTTTACAAAGGAGAAACACTCGGTTACCTGAAGTGTGCCATCGGCTTTAGCTTTTAGAAAATACTGATGAAGCATATCAAGCCGCTCTTCGATTGGTTTGTCGAGATCTCTGCTAATTATCAGTTTGCCAATTTGAGCGGAAACTCCCCCAGCTGGATCATCAATTGGCTCTGCCCAATCATCATCAACATCATCCGATGCACTTCCATTCTGCAAACATTCCCATGGTAAAAAGAAAATAAAACTTTACAAAGCTGAAAGAACTTAAATCTCCAATAAACTCATTTACCAAATCTTTATCGCTAGGGGTCTCTCCATCTATTACCGAATTGTCTGTCGAACCATTACCGCCTTCTTTCTTTTCCTTCTCATCCACTTTCGGTGGATTTTTCATGATAAACGTCGAGAGCTTATGCTTGGGATCAATGATTGAAATATTTCCACAAGCTTTGCATTTACTATGTATCTGGCCTTTCTTTACAATCTGGAAATCGCGTTTCTGAACAGTAGCTGAAATAAAAGTCGCTAGGAGGAAATAAATCAAGATACGTAAAACGAAGCAGTAACTACAAATAATTCACCAAAGTGGTTTCAGGATTCTCACACGCTGCACACAACACAAACTTCCTAATGAAGCCATCGAGAATATCTTGCAGTTTGGCCGCATCATGTTCACCGTTCACGATAAAACGTTCATTTTTCATGTCGAAATTTGTCTGTGCGCCCAATTCGCACCCAAAATACTTGGTTGGATCTACAATAACACCAACAATACAATATATGGAATTATTTTAATTATGTTTTTTTTGCTTACTGTGACCGTTAAAAATGAATAAACAAACATTAAGTTTCAGTTCAGCATGACGTCATTCATATCTCGCAACCCTTTTCTGCTACTCCAATTTAGTAAGAAACGATGAAAACAATCAAATTACATAAATTATTAGTTTATGAAACAATTTCAAACACGATACTACGTAAAAACTTTATAAAACAAAGTACTTACAAGTTGGTGGACGCTCAAGGGCTTTGGCAATCTCTGTCATATTCGCAATGACTGTTTTGATTCCATTGCCTTTGCCTTCGACCTGAAGCATATAAACAATAACTAGAGAAAACTAAAGATATGGTCACATATGCAATATCCTGCATCCTGCTTGAATGATGAATAACCTTGGCTTGTAGACGAGGCATTTTGTAACGATAAAAGGGATCGAGCACGTTGCGGTTGATATTGATCGCCATTTCCGTTCAATTTTATGATAAATGAACTCCGAGAGAAACCTGCAAAATAATTGAAGTGATTTAGAATATTCTAGATTAAAAATATTTTTCTCCATGCAATTTATTTCTAAAAAAAGAACTTAAAAAATTTTTCCTTTCTTTATCAGTTACAATTTCTACAAAATCAATATCATAATTATGAAAGCTAGTAAGTTCATCTGTAACGCAACCAAGAAATACCAAAATAGCATTTATTTCGAATTAAAGTAAATCTATTTTGAATTAAAGTTTCTATCATTTTCCGGTTCACGAACGATTTTACCGTAAAAGTTGCCCCTTTTGAAACGCCCTTTCAACTGATTGTCCACAATCAATAAGAGAGGGCGACACCGCATCAATTTCAATGAGTAGACCTTGGAAGACAGAATTGATACCGCCGTATAGCTTACAAGTATGGATAGATTAAAAAAAGTCACACAATAAAGTGACGAGCTTTTTAAACGCAGCAGTGACCCGAAAATACAACCGTTCACGATTAAATTAAGTAGTCCAATAGCTTTATTTTTTCATTATCCGACCTTTCTATATTTGATGTCCTGTGGAAAAATGATATGCTCATGCAATTCTTAAACCGCTTAAAGTTTATTTACAAATATAATTGATTATCTCTTCAATAGATTTATTAATAGCCTTTAATGAAGAAAATAAACACTTACAAGAAGTAATGGTCAAAATAACCATAACATTCTAGTTCAATGGGATAAATAGTTCTCTACATTAGCTACTAAATCAAAATATCGAACTGAATATCTGAATGACCTTCGTTACCAGTGAAGATCATGGAACACATAAACTAAATGAGAAAATGAAACCTTTCCAAAATTCTTGTGAAGCAACTTCGAAAGTCTCCTTCAGTAATTCTGTCAAAATGTGCAGTTGTGGAGTTAGCTATGTTGTCCAAAATCAACTCTATGAGAAATTTTCCATTAACTGCATTTCCGTCACATACATAATATCCTTTACCACACAATACTTAACATACCAGTAGTGGAGTCAACGTTAGGAGAAAATTCTGACGTGGAAGCGATTAGGCCACTCCTTGTGCACTGCGTATCCTCCAAATGGCATACGTGAGTAAGGGCAAACAAGCAATGCGATTCTTCGCCACACGACTCTTCGAAAGTCTCCTTCAGTTTCTTTCGTTTTCGCGACAACCTCCCTAGAAACGAAAAACTCATCCTTGAATCATATCCAGGATAAATGAATAATAGACTTTCCCCAACCTCTAAAATCAACCAAAATTCTGGGGAAAAAAAAATCGT